TTTATTAATAAGGAATAAGACAGGATGGTAAAACGGTTGATAAGTTTTACAATTTAGAAATTATCCATCACTTTAAAGGAAGGAAAATGTTATCATATGTATCCCAAATTCTCATTTCTCATCCTTATAACGTAAAATCAAGCAGCCATTACGTTAACAAAACAAAAAATTAAGTGATACCTTGGTTGAACCGGTGATGAAATCTTTTTGCTACATGCTGTGGCTATTTGAGGGGGACTTGCTAAGCAACAATCGCATACGAGCTTTGACACACCCTTGCATGCTCCTAAAATAGATACCGAAAGACATCAATATCAGTTGTTACATGGCCCGGAAATAAGTATGCATTGCTGCAAACACATTGGGATAATCAAGAGAGAGAAATCAAGAAGTATATGCATTTCAAACCTCGGCAGTGTAAACAGATCGAAGATTTGTTCATAGTGAAGCCACCAAGTAGTTTTTGGACGGCTTCCTCCACTGACTCCAATGGCAAATCGCAGCAGGCATTCATGACATCACGGAGGTTATTTCCACCATTCCCACAATCCATGTAAATATACTCCGGGGGACGTTTATTTGCACTGCCAGCATGCAGCTCAAACACAGTGGGCGTGACCACCTATTTCCACAAAGAACCAAATAAAAAGCATAAATTACAACCATAATCTGTAAGACACTAAACCAAAAAGAATTTTCGTATAACTCACCTCAATCCCCATGCAACTCTCACAAAAGCACAGAATCCCAGAGTTTCGAATCATTCCTTGAAGCGCTGTTTCTCCATTCTTTCGAGCCTAAAAAGTCGTCAAACAAACTCATACATCAAGCAGAAAGTCTTAAATACAAACATTAAAAATCCATCATTAAAAGAAGTAAAGATTGATGTACCTTTGATCCTTTCATGTACCTCACTGTCAATCCGTCAAGAATGCCCGTAGCCAGAAGATCCTTCAACTTGGAAGGAAATTTCCTCAACCTAGAATTCGAAAATCTTCCCGAAATAGGAGTGGTCATTAACACCGAAGCCTCAGTTTCTGATTCCCTCTTAATAACATCATCAACTCCAACCGCACCAACATTTTTCTCGTCATTTGCTTCCTCGGGTTTTTCCTTCAATGCCGACCGCGTAAACCTTCTCACAGTCGGAAGCCTCTCCATCCACTTTTTCGTTCTCTTCGTATACTTCTTCCCCTTATCATCATCATTCTCCAAAACAAGGGTTTCCCCACCAGGAACCTTATCTCCCGAAACACCCTTCTCCGATTCCTCATTAATTTCGCCAAGAGGTTGTGCCGTCTCATCCACAACCTCTTCCTTCAACGTCTCAGCCACAACAGGCTCATCCTCATTGACACCACTATCCAACACCTTCGGTTCCTCTTCGCCCACGACAATTTCTAACGCCTTCGGTTCCTCCTCGCTGATAACAGTTTCCAACACCTTCGGCTCCTCTTCGCAGATAACAGTTTCCAACACCTTAGGCTCCTCTTCGCAGATAACAGTTTCCAACACCTTAGGCTCCTCTTCGCAGATAACAGTTTCCAACACCTTCGGCTCCTCTTCGCCCATAATATTTTCCATGGCCACATCACTCTTCGTTTCCTCTTCACAAACCAACATTGCCGGAGACTCTGACTCTCCCGCATGATTATTCTTCGGCTCATCATCGCTCTGAAGATCCACCACGTCGCTCTTAGCCTCTTCCTCGCTCAAGACGTCCTCCGACGTTTTCGGCTCGACGGTCTTCCTGGACCGTTTCCGGGCAGATGCCGTCTGAACAGGAGGGTCAGGCCGGTTCTTGCTGGCCCGCGTTCGGCCCAGAGAAGCGCCGCAGATCTCAGATTGGGCCTTCATTGCGAACGCGAACTCCCTCTTGAGACCAGTCCGGACCCTAGAAAGCAACACGAACTCGTCGGAATCGGTGCCCTTGGCCATTGATTGAAGCTATTGGCAGCAGAAAAGGGTGAATAATACCCGAAAATTTATGGAAGATCCGAGAAAGTGTGCGGATTGCACATGCGAATGGGGAAGTTTGAACGAGAGGATTGGGTTGGAAAAGGAAAGTTAGGGTTTGGAGAAAAAAGGGTAAGAGTGAATAATTTGGGATTTGAGGGTCAAGGGAGAGAAAGACGCAGAAGAGATGTTAATGTTTTCTCCAATGCCCAAACTAACCCTGCGATGATCGCGATACCATTTCTCCAGATTTTGATTTTCCATTTGGCCTTGTGTTTCGTGATATTCCAGTTTCTGCTATCTCATTTATACGTTCCATAAATTTAAATACATTATTTGACCAATTTTGAATTTTTTTGCGGCCTATTCTTCATAGTTACCAATCATGAGGTGTCAACTAACTATTTGCCGTTGTTAACATTATTCTATGCTACATATTATATTATTGTAACAAGAAAATATATATATATATATATATATATATATATATTAAATTTGAATCTTCTACATGAATAAAATGAAACTGGGAAAGAAATCTTACCTAAAGATTACTAGTCGTTTTTATTCAGCAAAAAGATGGTAAATTTTTTATCGATATACAGTGAAAAGGTTTATATCAATTGATTATGAAATAAATTACGATATTAAAAGATGTATGATAAATTACTATTTCAGTTACTAAGTTGCATAAAAAATGTATTTATTTCATATAATTAAAAATTATAACAATAAATCTTTTTGAAATATGAATTATGTATTGTGTGATAATAAAATATTTTTATCGTATAAATAATTTGTATTATTGAGTATTGTTTCTTTAATTTTAATGTAGAAAACTAATTAAGTTTATATTTTAATTTAATTAAATATTCAGCCAGTCAATATTTTATCATATCATTATTTAATAAATATTGGTAGCGTTTCTACTAAAATATATTTTTATCATTGGGTTATTATGTTGTTTACTTAAAAACAGAATTCAGCCACATTATTTTATTTTTTTTTAAGAATAATAAAATAGAGAAAGTGGAGATTTTTTTCCTAAAATAATTTTTTTAAGAACAATTATTTAAATAGACTTATTGAAATATTATTTCTTTAAATGGATTTGTTTATGGTTTTCTGTTTTTTTTTCTAAATGGGTAGGAGAAATAAAAATAAAATTGAAAACTAAAATTAAAATTATTGAAAAGTAAATTAAGATAATTAATTAAAAATATTAAGTTGAAATATTAATTATTTAAGAGAAGGAGTCAAATAAAAAATAATTTATGTTTTCTTTTGTAATATATTCTAAATTTTAAAATTAAATTTGTTACTGTTAATTTTTTGAAAAAATAAAATATTATAATAGAAAAATTTTATAATAATAATAATAAAAAGAACAATGATAATAATGTTGTAAAATTTTAATTTATATTTTATTTTTTATCCATCTTTTATATAAACTATTATAGTAATAACAAATTTTATTCTAAATTATATTACAAAATTATTAAAGAGAATGAGTCAAATAAAAAATAACTTATGATTTCTTTTGTAATATATTTTAAAATTTAAAATTAAATTTGTTGTTGTCGATTTTTTGAAAAAATAAAATATTATAAGAGAAAATGTTTATAATAAGAACAATGATAAGAATGTTGTAAAATTTTAAATTTATTTTTTATCCATCTTTTCCATAAACCATAACAAATTTTATTCTAAATTATGTTACAAAATTATTAAAGAGAAGGAGTCAAATAAAAAATAACTTATGATTTCTTTTGTAATATATTTTAAATTTTAAAATTAATTTTTTTATTGTTAATTTTTTGAAAAAATAAAATATTATAATAGAAAATGTTTATAATAATAAGAAGAAGAACAATGATAATAATGTTGTAAAATTTTTAATTTATGTTTTGTTTTTTATCCATCTTTTCTATAAACTATTATAGTAATAACAAATTTTATTCTATAATATAAGAAGACGTATTGACAGAATACTAACACCATTGTCCCGTTGAAGAATTTCATCCAAATATTCACGAAAATATTGCATTAACATGTTGAGGCTATAAACTTTAATCCAAATTCAATTCAGCAAAAGGTTTTAAAGGATTGGTTCACGTGTCATGTGAAGATTATTTTTATTTATATAATATATATTAATTATAGTAACATTTAAAAATTTATAATATAATATTTTTATTTACAATGTCTTATTGTTTGTAAATTTTATAATTATTTTATTAAAAGAATAAGTATATAATTAAAAATTAATTATTTTTTATTTTTTAATAACAATAGTTAATTAATTAAAAGTACCATAATTATTATAATAGTAATAATAATTGAAAAAATAATTAATAAATAAGTTCATGCATTTGATAAGTTTTGTTACGTTATTTTATTTAGAATTGTAAAAATGGGTCACAACCCGCAAGTCAATCCGACCCATCACGGGAGTTGAGTATGAAAAAATTGTATTTTTTTTATATGGGTCAGATTTCAATCTGGTTCATTTAAACCCGACTCATTCGAATTGAACCGTGGTGGGTCGGGTTGGTCCACTAACCTACCTACCTTATTTTATTTTATTAAAATTTAATTTCAATTTTATAAAAAAATATTTATTATGTTTTTGCTTGAAAATATTATTTAAGTTCCCTATTTCCAAAACTAATTAAACACCCCATGTGGGAATGAAATTTGGGAGTGAAATTTGTTTAGATTTGAAATATAAAAAGTTTGTATTTTTTTATTTAAAAAAATTATAATTAAGTGCGCAAGTGAGCCAGTGAGCCAACCTGTTTACCCATCAACCCGTGATAGGTCGGGCTGGATTCGAATTTTTCTGCCTCACTAATAAAATAGTCAACTAAAAAAATAATTATATAAGTTTGTATTACATATATCCATAAATTTATAAAAAAACATGCAAGATGTTACATAATTGAGATATATTATACTAAACCAAAAGTGTAATAGGTCTTTCAAAAAGAGATGAACCTAAAATACAACATTTCACTTTATGTCTCAACTCCATATCCTCCCAGCACCTACTCACCAAAGACATTTCCCTAACTCACATCATTAAGGTGACCATTACAAAAGAAAAAAAATAAAAAGATATTTCATATTATTTGTATAGGTTTTGTTACATGTAAACATCCATATCAAAGAATCTTAAAACATGCACTCATATATATTAGACTTGACCATCCAAATATTTGTATTGATGTCAGACTATGACAAATTGCATACTTGTAGTGGAACAACTTGTCCCTCAAAGTTACCACATTAGTCTGTCTACCACCCATAGCCAAAAAATCAAACCATAGACTAGGACCTCCTACTACTTCTTATCACATAACCAATTTTTCTACTTGAGATAGAATGATTATTGAAGCGTTGAAATAACTTTCAAGGTTGAGTCCTACAACAATACATCACACTACCGAAAGTCACCATAAAATATATTCAAGAGATATATGGAATTATGCCAAGTGTATAACTATAGAGCATCGTCATGGAGTCTCAACCACAAGGTCCATGGTATTACACCAAGCATCAATATCATACCAACAACCATACTTCATTTTCACTCTCGTACCATACTTAAAGTAACATTGTACACACCACCATGTTCATCAACCATTAACTTATATAAGTTTACAATTGTACTTTAACCTTATTTGCATTCATATTTAAAATTAACAAAGCATCAACAATTTCCTTCACACATATACAATTAGTATTTACTAAATTCAACTCAATTTAATATATAAAAACACAAAAACCAAAAACACAAAAACCAAAGACACAACTCACGATAGGGCGCACTTAGTGATACAAGACCACCGCTTAGCGCCTTGTGTCAGAGACTAAACTAAGGTCATTGGAAGGCCAACACTCAGCATACAGAATCATCGCTCAGCTCCAAACGTGCAGAAGTCAAAGCCAATGTTACTATAAGGCCAGTGCTTAACATTGTATCAGTGGCCCTCAACGCTACAACAAAAACCATAAACTTTAAACCTTGATCTGGTTGCACTTGAAACCTATCCAAAACACCAAATTGATATTATTGACACTATGATTGGTTCTAAAACATATTTAAACATCATATTGAATACTAATTTGCTTAATTGGTTAGCGATTCAANGCCACAAGGTCCATGGTATTACACCAAGCATCAATATCATACCAACAACCATACTTCATTTTCACTCTCGTACCATACTTAAAGTAACATTGTACACACCACCATGTTCATCAACCATTAACTTATATAAGTTTACAATTGTACTTTAACCTTATTTGCATTCATATTTAAAATTAACAAAGCATCAACAATTTCCTTCACACATATACAATTAGTATTTACTAAATTCAACTCAATTTAATATATAAAAACACAAAAACCAAAAACACAAAAACCAAAGACACAACTCACGATAGGGCGCACTTAGTGATACAAGACCACCGCTTAGCGCCTTGTGTCAGAGACTAAACTAAGGTCATTGGAAGGCCAACACTCAGCATACAGAATCATCGCTCAACTCCACGCGTGCAGAAGTCAAAGCCAATGTTACTATAAGGCCAGTGCTTAACATTGTATCAGTGGCCCTCAACGCTACAACAAAAACCATAAACTTTAAACCTTGATCTGGTTGCACTTGAAACCTATCTAAAAGACCAAATTGATATTATTGACACTATGATTGGTTCTAAAACATATTTAAACATCATATTGAATACTAATTTGCTTAATTAGTTAGCGATTCAATACATCAAATCAAACCAACAACCACCATAATCCAAACAACAAACTTAGAATATAAAAATACAATATTTCAGCATAACTAAAAGTTATCCAAGTCTTGAATGGTACAAACAAAAACTATCAACATCAAACTCACTCAAAGAATAGTCCCTACAAAATTTCACATGTTAAAACACTAATACTATACCAATTTATAATCAACAATGTAACATACTACCAAACCACAATTCGACATCACTTTCAACCAAATCAAATAATTCAAACAATGTACCATATTAATAACCATAATAGATTTCAATATTGATTCAATAAACTAAAACAACACTTTAAATCATTCATAGACCATCAAAACAAGAAATCACATAGGAATTTATCAAACCAGCTACCAATCTCATATCAATTTCAACATGCATAACAATTTATATTAAAGCATCAACAATATTAACAAGTTGTAATTAACTTCTCTTACTTTACACAGGACCCAACTATTCTACAAGAGTTAAGACGACTCCAGCAACTCGA